AAACTCAACGTGCTGAAATTTAACTTGTATATTTGAGGGCAAACTGGTTATGAAACAATTTGCAGAATGACTAAGAAAATATTCGGCTTTACATTAAATAATCAGAAAGTCAGAGTTTCAGTATATAGCATTCTACAGTAAATGTAGTTTTCTCTTGTTGCCCGATCCACTTCCAAACATATATGTGCTGACAGTTAAATTATAATCGAAACTTATTACTTCTAATCTCACGATTTCATTGGACTTTATCTCATGTTGATCGAATGTGCCAATGAACTCAAACACCTTCTGTTGTCTCTGATTTTTAAAAAGCTATGAAGATGTCTTTGGCGTTTTTTTAAGTCGATCAGCAACATTCCTAATTGAATAGAAATCAACGTGTAACCAAGAATATTCAAATATGATGTACAATGATGCTAGGAAACGGATTATCGAAATAAAATATTGTTGCAAATGTACAGATGTACTCATTCGAAAATAGATGCGTGGTAGTAAACTATTACACATATATAAACAAAATAATACTGTACAACAGATGATAAAACTCGGCAGTTAAAAAGTTAGTTAAGCAGTTAAAATTATTATGCACCAAAACGCTGGTGCACCAGTACAAGAACATACATCTAACTATACGAGACAATTATAATATTAGCACAATACCAAGTAAAATTAAGACAATGTGTACAGAAATAACCCAAAATCCATTGCTGAGTTGAAAAATGCCATTCAAGAAGTCATCGACAGCATCGATGTTCCGACACTTCAGCGGGTCATGCAGAATTTTGCTATTCGTCTGCGCCACTTCATAGCCAAAGATGGCAGGCATATCGAACATGTCATAACCTAAATCTTAATATCTGCAGTGACGTTTACATGTTCATTAAAGTTTGTGCACACAATAGTTTTTAAATAATTCACGTTTTATTTTATATAGTTCAATAATTGTTACTCTGTACAAGTTGGAACAAAACTTGAGGGATGTCTAATGTGCTGATAGTTTTTCACAGAGGAATTAAGCAATTTCTCTGTGATAACGTGAATTTGCATATTATATTCATTTAAGTGAATATTTGCCCCGAACCAGAGGAAGAAAAACAGATTTCTTGGGAAAATATAACTTCATGGATTTTTTTTTTTTTTTTATTGGGGCAGACCTTATTTCCTTGCCGTATTCAAACAAACAAATCAATTCCTATCAGATATTTGTTTATAACAGAAAGAAAATTCCTGGCGAGTCAGTTTAAGTCATTAAAATTTCCGGATGATTTCGCTGCCTTTTACTGTAGAATAAAAACATATTTTTATAATATAACCAGTAATAATATAGAGAGTTTTGTATTTTCCTTATTTTTTTTATTTTAAAAAAGCTGTAAATTTACATAGTTGAAAAATGAATTCAGTTTTTCTCCCGTAAAACAATATAAAATACGTCTTTTTCCTAGAAAATTTAAGTAGTGGATTAGTTTTATTTTCTCAAATAAGGCCAATTTCTATTTGAACTAAAATAAATGAAATAAAGTTTTAATTTCGTAGATCATAAAATGAAAGACATAAATTTGCTTTTATATTCACTATGGTAAAAGTAAATAAAAAAAACTATTTTTATGTTAAAGAAATCGTATAATGTATTTCTGTTCAATTAAAAATATACTAAGAAAATATTTCCTAATTCCCGTCTTGTTATGTATTACATTCCTGATTTTAATAAAGAAAATCAAATGAATACTTTAAAGAGAGTCCACCTGTACAACATCAGAGCCATGCCATCATATTTTAATATATGAAACTAATCTCGTAAATTGCTTTAAAAAGGTTAACTGTCACATCTAATAATTCATTTCATTTTCTGGCAATTACGAAAAATAGAAACAGAGGAGAAAAAATAGCATTAAAAAAAAAGCCGAACATTTTCAAAAGCAAATATTACAAAACAAATGGATTTCTTTTTAAATATTTCTATTTAGAAAGAAAAAAAACATGGGTTAAACTTCGAAATATAGTTAACCATTTAACAAACTTAAATAAGAACTCAGATTTTTAATGCAATTTGGAAATTTGGAAAAAATATAAATGACTTTAAATTCTAAACAAAACAGGCAAAAGTAAAATTATGTTGCTTCTGGAAAGGTAAAACTCAAAAGTATTCGCAATGTGACACGCTTTAGAAAATGACTATAGGATCACTTCTGGATCATATAAATATAATAAGTTCTTGATTTGCAAGTACATTATGATTTAATCAGATATGTAAAGAAATCATACATGAGACACAGTTATATAACATTAATATGGGGATATGACCATAGTTCGATCAGAAAACTTCACACGATTATATTGAATATTTTTAATAATTTAAAAACTTCGAATATTACAGAAATATTTTAGTACCTTGAAGAATATAACTTATTAGATTAACAACACATCGTTATAGTTACCGATTTAACTGAAGGAACTGTCTAAAATAGGAGTACTGCGACATTACACTAATCATTTAAAAATCAATGCAATGTTACGTGACAACCATTCACATCTTCAGTGACATAACATTCATGCCACTTTGTTATGTTACATTCTTCTCACTCTCTGACGTTATATCAAAGTCTCAGTGGGACATTACATGAATGTCACAGGATGAGTTCACAATAATGTCACAGAGTGACTTTGCATAAACGTCGCGGTGTGACGTCACATAAACGTCGTAGTACGACGTCACAAAATGCGGAAATTAAGACATACATACAGCGTCACTATGAACGCTGTGATCGTCACAGTGTGACATGCTTGCAATGTTACAGAAACGTCTACGTTTTCTTGGGGACAAGTATGTCTTAGGGAATGAGCTAATGAGCATGTTTTAAGTTTAGATGCAGATATACTGAGCTTATGATATTTTTATCATCTTATGAATAAGGTCACTGCATGCTGGGATGTAGTAGCAGAAAATCATGTGCATATACCAGTATTTTTATATGTTCGTCATACTCAAATAGTCAGAAACCAGAATCTTCTACTACGTTCATTAATAGTGGCCCAAGGCAAGATTGTTCTTAAGTAAGACTGTTACTTAAGTAAGACTGTTACTTAAGAACTTCTTCAGCAGTTTTTAAAGAGTTTTGGGGCATGAAATCTTTTATAGTTTATTTAATTTGTTAAGCCACCACAACGAATTAAAGGCGGCCTGTATGTCTATGGAAATAATTGAATGTGTAAATATTATATCTATTACATAATATGCATAGTTTCTCAATCTAAATCCCACACAATATGAATGGGTAAATGGTGCATCGCAGAAAGTAGTCTTTTAACGATTGTTGAAAAGTAGACCTGGTTATAGCGTTGAAACCAAAGTTCTTAGGATCTATTTGGTAATCGTATTTAAACAAAAAATATCTCCAGTGAAATTTAGTGTTGCAGTCAGAGTGTGAAAAGTAGGCAATAAATCGTAATAAAGTTTACCGTGGGACAATTTTAATTTTTCTGATAGTATCTATTTCTATTTTTTCATTGATAACTGCTAAATAGGATTTCGTATTTGTTCCTATCTTTTTTTCCCTTCTTCATTACTTTTATATAGTACATCTACTAAGTTTGTCATTATTTCAGATAAATACGTGCAACACTATTTCACATGCAAGTACATTTGATATTTCACTTATACACATCAGTTTAAATTTACAGGTCTTAGTTACTATTAATATTTAAAGGTTAAAATTGATTAAATATTTGTTATTTTTTATTATCAAATTAAATCTAACTTCATTTAAATGTGAACACTGATTTGAATAAGAAGCCGAAAATATCTTCAGTTCTATTGTGCTGTATTTTGTCAACCCCAAATCTGTTTCAGATCTACAAGTTAAACAGAATTTTTAAGGTAACCTTTGTATTTTCTGCAGCATGGAGAGCATTTTTTTTTTCAAACAGCTCTGCCTTAATCTAATTTATTATGCAGTCAAATCTCTAAGATTTAATTACTTTCGAATAATTAAGATACAATAACACGCCGAACAAATATTAATTTAGAAGTCAAACAACAAAAATCAGAGTAATATTTTTCAAATTTTCACAGGACTAATTTCGATGGTTTTGCCAAACCATCATCCTCAGCTGCAAAAGACCAAATGAACAAGATAAGATATAATGATTAGATAATATAAGAAAGCCATGGACAGGAGATAAGTTACTGGAGTCTGTTGATGAAACAGAACTAAAACATAATGTTCAAGCTGAAGGAAAGATGATTGGAATTAGGGTCGTTAAAGAACAGAAAAATTTTTGAATGTGAAATGCCTCTAGTAAATCCATTTCACCAATGGAAGATGTTTTTTGAATAACTTGGCTTTCTTATCTTATATAATCATTATGTCTTATCTCGTTCATTTGGGCTTTTGCAGCTGAGGATGATAGTTCGGTAAAACCATCGAAACTAGTCCTGTGAAAATTTGAAAAATATTACGCTGATTTTTGTTGTTTGACTTTTGCTGATTTTTGTTGTTTGATTTAAATTAATACTTTTGAATGTTTACAAGTTGATTAATTTTTATTTACACATATTCTGGACAATTTAAATACAAAAGAAATTTATACAGAGAAATTAATTTAAAAAAAATGGTAAAATTAATATTAAAGAACTACCAGATTATTACCTGATTATTTTTCTTTTAAGATTATTTATCAATTTCTTAAACAGCAAAAAGTGAAAATTTTCTCTCTGTAAACATCACACGTTTCAGAGAACTGAAATATTATTTGTAGATAACTATGGTACGTTCCTTCCCCAAACAAAATAAATAAAATGACAAAAATATTTTATTTTTCGACATTATAAAAGAAAAATGTAAATACACAGCTTTCGAAAATGATAAAAAAATTCTAACAGGTGTCTCTTTTAATGAGAAACTACTCTAAAATCACAGTTATTATCAAGAAATGATTTAACTCTTGAAGCAGGTGGTAATTTTCAGTTTAAGATACTGTTCAATGATAAGCGAACCTTTTTTAAAGAAAATTTAAAATATGTACTGAGCTCAGTTTTCGGAACTTAGTTGTGTTCACTCTAAAGTCAATATGAAGTTCTACTTGGTTCTCGTTTTGGCTTTGACTACTGCAGTTCTGGCAGAAGAGGACGATGTTGGTAAGGAATATAAATTATGTTTATTACATTAAGGTATTTTTTCTTTAACTGTAGTTCAATAAGGCTATACTTTTATTCGGTAAAATACTTTTGTTTTTCAATTAATCCTCTGTGCGTTACTTTGTTGAGCTAATATGGGATGTTTTATTGTTCTGTTGAATAGCATTGGATATTGAAATAATTTAGCGGATAATTAAAATTCCTTTACTGAATAATTGAATTAATAGGAAAAAAATAGAAGCTAGTGTACAAGAAGTCTCAATGAATTCGTAATACTTTCTGACTTCAAATTTATATCCTTAAGTAGATAGGCAAATTCTATATAACACGAGATTCCTGAAGTGTAATTAGAGAATTAAAGAAATCCTTGAGATTAGGAAATTGGTAAAACTCCATGCAGCTTAGCATTCCGATTTTTAGTTTGCTCTGAAACGCACGTGAATAGTGCTGCCAGATTAAATTCTAGTTTAAAGCATAACTATACGAGAGAAGGAGTGAAACTAAGAACTTAAATATATTGACGATAATTAAATATTTTTATTTTGAGAGAAAATAAAATGTTTATTAAGTATCGTATATTACGGAATTTAACGTGTACTTATAATTTCAAACTATATTTCTTAATGTTTAGGTCTAATTCGCACCCTTTTCTTTCCGAAGAAAACTGAAGGATACATGTACGATGTTCTTATCTTTTGAAATCATTCAACTGAAGATTTTTCCCAGGCTTTCGACAATGGTATACTGAATTGGCAAGTGATAAGAGGGAAAATATGGGAAAGGGGGAGTGAAAAGCTTGAATGAGTAAATTATTCTTGACAGAAGGGATTGTGTTTTCTCTTTCTATAGTAATTTGAAGCCATGATTTTGGAGTGAACATCAAAGTAAACAATTGAATCTCATTTGCTTTAGTTGAAATACAATTGATCTAGTTACCTTTTAGTAGTAAACATGGCTAGAGCCAAACGAAACAAATTCAGTGCTGGTTTAAAATGCAAAGACATTCAATTTGCGAAAGAAAATGGAAATCATGCTGCAGCAACAATGGTTGGTGTTGGTGACAGCTTCATACGTGAGTGAAAAAAAACGAAAGCGTAATAATTAATATACTTTACGTAACAAAAGTTATCTGATAATGAAAGTTTCAAGTTCATAAAGTGTATCATTTCTATACGGCACATATCTGAACGGGAACTACTGTTATAAACTAATATTTGCTTCAAAAATGTTGATGCATTTTTTACATTCTGAGCAATAAACTGATTTTTTAATGCAAGATTACATAAAAATCCATGTAATTTTTACAAAAATAATTTTATCATTACTAACGGCCAGGCAAATTCTGAAAAGTCAGCTGAATTCATTAACAACCGCGGAACTTACTCTGCGATTTGGAAAATGATAATATAAAAATTTATTGAAATCATAGATATTTTGAAAGTATGGATTCTGGACTGTACTAATATCGTATCTTTGTCAGTTCAAGCGAATGCTATCAAGGTTAATTACATGTCCGAAAAATATAAAACTGATATTGGTTCAAACGAAGATACTATCAATCAGCAGGAAGGGAGGAAAAGGGAAAAGTATAGATACGTTAAAAGAAAACGCTAGGTCTGCAAGAATAGAAAATTAATATCGGAAGTATTTAAGATTTCTGCAAAAAGAAAAGCTGATAAAGTAGATTTAGTGAAAATGACACCCAGTTACTTCAGAAGATGAAAACAACTTTCAGCTTCAAAATTTTTGTTTTAAAAGCATAGAAGAAGGAATAAACTTAATAAGTAAATGAGCTCTGGTTTGTATCAAATATACACCGTGTCCTTTTGTGGAGACGGTGTATATTTGATACACCTTTACCCGCCTTTTATTTCCACAATTATTCATCGCATTTTGCACATATACTTCCATGCACAAAAACGTCTTAAATGATGCAAAGACTAGAATACTAGGATATAACAATAAAGATAACTTTTTGCGCTCTGAAATCTAAAAGACTTTGAAAAGTATACAAGGGACAAAATGGTTATATTGTTCTGAATATTAAAAGTGAAAAAATGCAATTGGTGGAGGCATTCTGGCATAAGATGTCAGTTCGGGATATGGTCAGCATGGAGGGCGATGTACGTTTCCACATGTCGTGTCTTACTTTGCACAACATTATCTAACAGCTGATGGGTAATTTATCCCAGTCCTCTGTCGGTGCTTGGATTAGAGTGTCCTTGTTTATAGGAGGGCACTTCCGACTAGCAAGACTCCCCCACAAAGCATTCCAAAATTTTCACTTGGATTCAGATGTGGAGAATGTGCTGGCCATGCGAGGGGTTGAATATCCTCGCTCTCTAGACACTCCTGGGCAGCGACTGTTCGATTACATCTTACTTGTTGTTCACGCAAACACATTTATACCAAACAGCACCCCGGAGCATGCGAAGACAACGCAGCAGAATATCATTGACGTACCAGTCATAGTACCAGTTACAACCAAATGTAGGGGCGTGCGGCCAATTGATCCTACTGCCGGCCCATACAATGATGCTGCATCTTGGATTCAGGTCCTTTCTTGGATATTTTCTGGGCGAATAGCAGTACCATACTCACACCAAATCAGTTGTTGTCTATAATCTGCTAACATACTGAACCTACTCTCATCTAACAATACTACACAAGCCAAGTATGCTCGCAATACCATTAAAAATGGCGGTACGTTGCTGTCTGAACAATGGAATGCACAGAACAGAACGGCGAGCATATAGTTATCCTTGATGCAAATGTCTGGCTACACTTTTTCGGGAGATTCGCTTGCCATTAGCAGCAAGTAACTTATTTGTTACCTTAATAGCTGTACTGCGCCAGTAGGTTTTGTCCATAGCATTATATATCTTCTCCTGCAGGCGTCGCATTGCGAACATGACATCTCCCGTGACGTTTGCTACACTATCTGATTGAAATGATTTCCAAAGCCTTGAAACAACACTGCGGTTGACGTCGAACTCCCTAGCACCTGAACTTGTTATTTTTTCGTCCTTCTTGAGTATTGTAAATAATACAGCCAAGCGTAAAATCATCTTAGTGATGCCGGAAGACATAAAAAACGTGCAACATGGTCAATTGATTCTTTCCCGTTAAATTTTTCTTTTAAACAACAAATGTCAACAACAACGCGTCAAATTCTTTACCTCTTTTAGGAATTGATCACGTGATGAATAACTTCGGCAATTAAAAACTTGCACACGCATAGCCACGTCTTACTGTATCCCGCACTTCTGCTAATTTCCACATATTCGTGCCTTCCATTTTATGGTTTCTGTCGCTGCTGTCCTTCCAGCTTAGCAATTATCCACCAGTGTACTTTTGTTTAGGAAACTTTTGTACTCGTTATAAAATATAGAAGACAAAAAGTTTAACTCCAGTACAAGAAAAATTGTCCTGGGTATTTAATTTGAAAATTCGCGAAATTTGATGTCACTCTGAATTTGCTTTAAGGGGTAGCTTGAAAGCGAATTAGCATCTTTCTAAACCGAATTCTTTTCCTAGTATCATTTGGTGATATTTGTTTCTAGTTTACTAGTTTGTTTATAATTTTGTTACATTATTGTTTAGCGTTACATTATTTTTTATAAGTTTGTTATATCTGGTATGCCAAAAGAATTTTCACGCAATAAATTTATAAATTTTCAAAGCCTGTAATATCGTTGTGGCCCCAACTTGTCAGCAACTGTAGTAGTGACTGCTACTAAGTGTGAATTTACACAGACACGTAACAAGGGTTTAAAGCTCTTTTTACTCAACTTTTAAAATAACAGCTGCGTTTACTTGACGCTCACAAACTACGCTGACCCGGCGGTTTAACTGAAACAGACTGTAAAACGGAAAAATAATGACTAGATGAATAAATAACGAAATCACTATCCACGAGGCTCTGAGATCTTAAACTAACCTAACCGCGTTCTAAAATACGGCTGAGATTCAGCGAGCTTACTAATTAAGCAGTTGAGAGATCCAGCAAAATCTGCCGAAATGGGCACACAGGCCGACACGCGCGGTTCTTAAATTCTCCCTAGCAACCTTCACGTTCGCGATTCAAGAAGCACACCTACAATCTCGTTTCCCTTCTATTTAAACTCAACTCACTTCTGCTAAATTTGAATATACTGCGCGCTCTACTACAATTTACATACTCTAGTATTGGCAATTCTAGGGGAAAGTAAAGGTTTGACAGGAAAGATAACTTAAAATAAATGTTAGTTAAAATAAATATAAACCATACAAGCCTAAATGTAAGTTATAAATATTGACATGAAGTTTTATTACTTTAGAATCATGATCTAGTAATCTTCAGAAATTCATTAAGGTACATATTTTTCATTTTTAGTTAATGCTAATAATACTGCTAGTTGGCTGTGTTTTAATACTGAAATTTGCCACTGTTTCCTAGAACACTGTAAGGTTTATTCTAAGTTGATAACAGTTAGTTTTAGTTAAAGCCACTGTCCTATCTCTTCTAATTTCAGCTTACAATTTCCTGCTACAACATGTTTTAGAATCGCGGTTAAATGCAAATGAAGGAGGAGAAAGTATTTAACTTTGAAGCTCTGCTGATTTCGTTAGAGAGCCAGAGATTCTGATAAGTGCACGTTCTCCTTTAGGCTATACTCTCTCCAAAGCTACTTTTACGCGCTTTTTACTTTAGGTCCTTGATAGCTTCGCCGTTTAGCTAGCGTTAAGAGGCCAACCCTTGTAGAATCTTGATAGCTTCGGCTATATCTTTTTTAGTTAAAATTTTATTTCTTAGTAAATCTTGAGTTCAAGCCCAAGTGGAGGCTTTGCTGTAAACTCCGAGAAGGAGTCAACTGTTCAATTCTTATTTTGAGAAATAAAGAGTATTTAACCCTTTCTGAGTTCTGTTCTCTGTCTACTGAACTAAAGCGATTATTCGCTTACCAGTACTCAAAGCTCCACAGATTTAGCTGTAAATTATAGGTCGGACCATTACAACACTAATTCTTAATTCTGTAAACAAGATCCCTTTTCGAAAGACAATAATTAGTCAATACTTTTTACAGTAATCTACATAGAAATGCTCGTCATATAGTCTCCTTGACATCAGAACTATTCTTCTAAGAAATATTTCATGTTCAGTTACCTCCAGATGCAAATATTTCGCTCTTCAGCTTGTGTATTGAACCTGGATATGATTCTTGATTTCTCTATGAAGTAACTTGCTTGATTTTTGTCGTACGGGTGTCAAACATTTAAAATTTTCCTAAAGATAAGCATAGAGACCGGAGAAATTTTTGAAAACTTAGGTTTCGTACTTTACAGAAAATTATTTTTTTACAAATTAAAGAATACGGACACAGGACTCTCAACGTAATTTGAAGCATTTTTGTACCCGGGAGTATACATGTACGACCAATGGTTGGGAAAATAAAGGTAGGTAAGGGCATTTGTGAACCCAGCGTATATTTTAAAAGCAAAGTAACAAACATTTCATGATAGAACTTTGAAAGTGCCTAACTCCATACTAGAAAATATGAAGAAAATGTATGCAAGCTTTTTTTTTCTTTTAAAGTTGGAGCCAAAGAATTGTAACCTGAGTAGCATGTACTTTATACTACACCAAACGTTTTGATAAGACCATGGTACAACACTGCAATGTTATACATTAAAAATGTACAAAAGAACACAGGTGTAACACGCACGTCATTTGATAGCATGCTGTGAGCGATTCGAAAATTACCAATGGGTTCTCTGGAAAGCACATCCTAAGAACACGATGTAATTAGCTTTAGCACGTCATCTATAATAAATAATATCATGTATAATGTAATTTATAGCACATTTTTTTATTTACGTGCTCCGCTCTTAGGCACTACACGAAAGGGGAGATCTTCGTGGGGGTCTTTCTAAAGGAAACTGGCTCGTATACACGTTACACATGGGGAAAAACATGAAAACGTCCATGCAGCCAGCCCGTTCGCAGGAATCGAACCTCGGACAGAACTACCAGTGTTCAGTGACTTACCGCTCGGCCGCTGGGGGTGGGGGCCTATAGCACATATTGAGAACGTTTTGAAAAATACCAGTATTCTATGTCGAAATGTACGTTGCAAGAACATAGTTGTAACACACACCTCTTTAGCACGTCATGCAGAACGTACTTTATAGCATATCTGGGAACGTTTCGAAAAGTACCATTATTGTGCTTTAAAAATGTACGTCCTAGGGACACAGTTACAATACGCACAGATTTAGAATGTCCTGTAGAACGTACTTTATAGCACATGTTGAGAACGTTTCAAAAAGTATAAGTGTTGTACGTTGAAATATGCGTCCTGAGAACACGGTTATAATACGCGCCGCTTTTAATACGTCGTTTAGAAAGTTTTTCATAGACCATCTTGAGAACGTTTCGAAACGTACCAGTGCTGTACGTTAAAATATACGTTCTAAGAACGGTTATAATACGCACCGCCTTAGCACGTCGTTTAGAACGCTTTTCATAGTACCAGTTTAGAACGTTTCGAAATGTACCAGGATTGTACATTAAAACGTACATTTTAAGAATAGGGTTATAATACGCACTGCTCTAGCACGTCGTTTAGAACGTATTTTATAGCACACGTTGAAAACGCTTAGAAAAGTACCAGTATTAAACGTAGAAATATTCGTCCTAAGAATACGGTTCTAACACGCACAACTTTAGCATGTTATGTCGAACGTATTTTATAACACATTCTGGGAACGTTTCAAAACACACCAGTGTTGTACGTCGAAATGTACGTACTAAAAACACAGTTGTTACACGAACCACTTTAACACGTTGTTATGAACATTCTAAATACACCTAACACCGTTATAGAGCGGTGTGACACGGTCTCTGAACGTTTTCAGAACGTTCCGGTGCTGCTTGGGAAGATGCTACAAAGAAAACTCAGAAGATGAAAACGACTTGTCCGAAAGACACGCCCGTATTTATCTACATTTAACATTGACGAAGAACAAGAAGTTTCTTTATTTTAGCACTAAAATAAGAGTATTTACTTTTGGTCAAATATTTATAATTTTAATTAGCACATTTCTGGCATTAAAAGACAGTAATAATATTCAGATCTCATGCAATCTAACTTTAAAATCCGTCTATAAGAAGGAATTGTGGAAACAGTAAGCTTTAAGCGATATATATTATTGTCCGAAAAGCAAACATATAACAACAATATTCTTAGTGTTCTAAGTATCCAAACGTTATTTGAAAAGTGATACACTGTAAAAGTGATTTGGCTTGAGAGTGAGGATCCATTACAAGCATTATATGCGTTGTTATTATGAACAACCATTATTATAAACAAAATGATATTTAGACAAAATGATATTTTTGAACGGCATAAGCTTTATTAGTACGTCGTTTATTCAAGCAGGAGCAATAAGTTATACACTGCAAAAAATATTTGAAACAAAATAGAGTATAAGAGTCAGATTCGTTATAAGTGTTATTGGAAAACTGATACGCTGCAAAAGTGATTCGACGGAAAAGTGAGGATAAATTATAAGCATTATAAATGTTATAAAAGTGAGCTAGTATAGTTACAAAAGCGAGTTTAAATTGTCGTCTGCGTTATGATTGACAGGATTTAAAAGTTTAAACAAATTTACAAAAACATGAATTATATTACCGATTTCACAACACAGAGATACTCTACATATATACACTTTGCAGCATATTATGTTATATACGTCTATTTATCTACAGTGCAAAATCTTTATTTCAATCGCTGTTCAGGACTGAAACAAAGGTCACTTTCTGGTTTATAAATACGACAGCAGTTACTACGCATCACTTTCCTCGCCTGCGCCTGCTTGAATAAACGAAGTCCCTCGTTTCACTTTCGTTCTGTATTTTCTGAAATGTAAACCTTATATAGAAATCGTAGGTGCGTTAGAGTGGCACCAAATAAAGTAAAAATGTATTTCTGAAGAAATTTTCCTGTTCAAAATAAAAATGATGTTTTAACGATCAAGCCTGTTGTGATTTTCCGTCTACTTATCTAGCCAGCAGTTTTTCTCAACCATGATTAACGGTGAGTTTTCAGTTTTCATCTTCCGCAAAAACTACAATATCAAACATATATATGACCGACTCTCCTACACCAGAACTGACTCACCTGAAAAGTGATTTAACGTGAGAGTGAAAATTGGGAGTAATGATCGACTGAAAGCACTGGATATTACCATTTTCAAATATGCAACACATATCAGAATGGAAATAAAAATAAATTATATAAAAAAATTCTTTTTTATTGACTTTTGAATTAGACATGACTTGAATGTATAAGGTATTCCAAAATACTATGATAGTTTATGCATTATTCATTAAGATTTCTTCAATACGTTCTAAAAATTTTTCCATGTCTTTCTGTGCCTCTGTTAATTATATGCTTTGCTTAATATTTTTAGAGATCGCTCGCCAAGCTATGGAAAACCCTGACCTCTTCGGTGGTGACATGGACGGTGTCGATCCATACGTAAGTTCTGGTTATTTCAAATACTAGTTTATTATGCTGATTTTGCTTGCAAAGAAAATTTGATTCAGCCTTCCTTCACACATGAGATCTAAATTGATTTGTTTAATTTACATATCTAACACATTCAAAATTTTCCATATATTTCACACTTACTTAATAAACTGACTAAAAGCGCTAATAGCAAGATGAGATGGCATAACTTGCATAGGATTAATGAAAAATTACCTAATGATCCAATAATATATTTAATGCGATAAAATTATGATATAAGACAGATATAATATTTGTACGTATGCCCTCAATTTTGCGGTGGGTGAGAAACTGAAATGTAAAATAATGGTATAATGACTATTCATTTTTAAGCACATTTTATATCCCAAATAGTAAGCCGGCTATGGCAAAAGCCATATTTATAATTTCTAAGAACTGAAAAACTCAAAATAAAATTAACTATTCTAAATGCTATTACTATTGAAGTGTGTTGCATAAACTCTAAAGTATTACTAATACAATATGAAGAACGAACTTCTTTAAACAATTTTATTAACGAGAAAACAGGATTGGAACAAATATCAAGTGACCTCTTTTAAAATGAAACTCCAATGAATGTTTATCTTTCGTACAGTCGTTTTGTGATGCCATTTTACGAAAATTAAAACGTACAGAAATAAATGATAAAATGAAGAGGAAACATATAGACGCTACAGTATTAATTTAATGTACTGTATGCAAATTTGCTAGCTGCTACCAAAACAAAATTAATAAGTTCTATGTACACCTGGAAAGAAAGTGCATAAAAACATTTCAGTATGAACGAAATCAGTCGACTCTTTCCAGATAACAACCAATTCATAAAAAGGTTTTTGTTGCCAAGCTAGAAAACAAAAACTTTGGATACTCAAGTTAGTACGTATACGTACGTCGTCAGGGGTTAAATTCAATGTAATATAACAACCTTTTCTCAATATCAATAAAGGAATTATCGTGGCAATAACATATCGTGTCAATTGCCTTAATCTGAAACAAAAAAGCTGCTAACAGCTGCTATTTATTTAAAATGCTGACATTAACGAAAGGATATACAATGACGTCACATGAAATCGCACACTTTCTTCAATATCAGAACATTAGCTTATACAATAATAACACATTTAATGTTTGAAAAAGCTATTTTTAGTTCCTATTTTATAAAACTTACAAATTTTTATTAACAAACTCTTCGATTTGAAAGCGAGAAGTGGTAACACGTGTGGAAATAAAGCAGATTTCTATTTCCAAAATGCAAGACTGCTGCCACTCGGAAAAAATGACAGTTAAAAGTAGCGTTCTCAACGTTTTTGATTAATATCGCACCTGTTAAAGTCGTACGAAGATCAGAGTGATTGAAGACTTCCCACGAATTGGCATCTGAGGGTCTATCTTTCTCGAAACTCGCCGCAGTTCCGGTGGATATGATACCCTAAACAAACAAGCAGACAGACAAAAACGTGCAGTGCACATATTTTTCATAGAATAGATTGCAATTTCTCTATAGTTTGCATTTTTCTGCAGGACTTGTTCCATTCTTTCTAGAAGAACATGTATACGATTACGGAAAGGAAAATAAAGCAGATTTCTATTTCCAAAATGCAAGACTGCTGCCACTCGGAAAAAATGACAGTTAAAAGTAGCGTTCTCAACGTTTTTGATTAATATCGCACCTGTTAAAGTCGTACGAAGATCAGAGTGATTGAAGACTTCCCACGAATTGGCATCTGAGGGTCTATCTTTCTCGAAACTCGCCGCAGTTCCGGTGGATATGATACCCTAAACAAACAAGCAGACAGACAAACGTGCACAGATTTTTCATAGAATAGATTGCAATTTCTCTATAGTTTGCATTTTTCTGCAGGACTTGTTCCATTCTTTCTAGAAGAACATGTATACGATTACGGAAAGGAAAATAAAGCAGATTTCTATTTCCAAAATGCAAGACTGCTGCCACTCGGAAAAAATGACAGTTAAAAGTAGCGTTCTCAACGTTTTTGATTAATATCGCACCTGTTAAAGTCGTACGAAGATCAGAGTGATTGAAGACTTCCCACGAATTGGCATCTGAGGGTCTATCTTTCTCGAAACTCGCCGCAGTTCCGGTGGATATGATACCCTAAACAAACAAGCAGACAGACAAACGTGCACAGATTTTTCATAGAATAGATTGCAATTTCTCTATAGTTTGCATTTTTCTGCAGGACTTGTTCCATTCTTTCTAGAAGAACATGTATACGATTACGGAAAGGAAAAAAAATCCGGATTTTCTTTTTCAAATTACTGTATTATTCTTCCACTGAGCGGAACGCTTTTGAAATCATTGTTAAATACTAATATCATTTCTTTTGATTCTATTGAAAACAATAAATAAATATAGTCAAGAGGAGAAAATTCGAAAATCAAAAGGCAATATTAGCTTTTATACTTGAAAGAGAAAACAAAGAAAATTTTAAAATGTGTATATTACAGAAGCATACTTTCCTGAATGCAAATTAACAACAAGAGTCATTTATTTGTGTATACTATAAGATAACTGTAGGATAACAGCTATAGGATAACTTTGTAGGGTTTTACTTGCGCAGAATATTAAATTCAGTCTTTCTACCCTTACTAGTCTGGCACACGAATTAAGATGATAAAGTCCTACGAGGGTTGAAATATTCTTTTCATTAACTCTTTAAATTTAATGGAAAGTTTCACTTGGGCTTGCAAATAAAAATTCCGCCACTTGAGAATATTTAAATAACGTATATTGAAATTCAGATTTGAGTAACATAGTCGGTGACTACACCAAATGGTCTATCTACTTAAGCTGGCTTAATTAATTTATGGCGCATTTTGAACATCGGCTAGGAAAAATCGTTAAAACCGGAATATTCTTTTCTTTATATGTTGTAACCTTCTTTCGTAACATAAACTAGATGAGAACTCTAAAAGACGTAAGGGCGTAATCACTATGTCTCGCAAGTATCATAGAGACAGGGAAAGAGTGTAAATAACCCTTTATTTGATTCAAATAATAATAACAGGTGGCACCACTCATGTAAACAGAAGCCAACAATTATGGCTTCAATCAAAGACAATGAATTAACTAAAACTAAGAGGAGTAAATTAGCCTAACACCTGCACAATTATAATAACGCGCAGGTTGGCTCTGACCTAAGGTCGGCGCCACAAGCCAAAAGGCGAGAATAACGCAACGCCACAGAATACTAGCTAGTGAACCAAATTAGCAACGTTGCCTTCAGCAGGCAAAACACGCTCTGATTCTACTCTCTAAAAGCTTTCTTTAAATATTCGTGTGATATTCAAATCACGCGAGGCAGAAAATTGACGTTCTATCAGAAAATAGAAATGAGGGAGACAGGAAAAATGTTTAATATAAAAAAAAAATAAATAAACTATTTAAAAAACTTATACCTAAATTCTGCAGTTTTTAATTTAAGTTGTGGCGTGATATTTCAGGTTTCAGAATATACGACTAACAAAATATATACACTCTTTATTCCAAAACGGATTGTAAAATAGATTTAAAATGGATTTCTTTTTTGGTGACATATGTACGGACATGCGCTAAGGAATCTGTCATAACTTAAAAAACGATTAGCCGTAGAACTTTTGATGTGTTTTGTGTATGGGACTAATATAATGTATAGTTGTGAAAATCTCTTTTTATCGCAATCGACAGTAGCAAACGCATACATATATATACATACCTACCTTTTTACCCGGCTTAAAAATCCTTTCTAGCTTTTATTTTCGCAGTCATTAGACGTAAACGTACATATACTTCCAACTGCAGAAGTGTTTTAATTGATGAAAATATTCATGTTTTGGTAATGTCAAATTTTAAAAAAATTAATTTTGTGCCAATAAGGAAATCGAAAATGCAATGCGGTCTCCTGGTTACTATACTTGAGAAAGTTTTATATTCGTTATAAAAACTAAAAACACAAGACGTTTGACTTCCGAAAGAAAAAAACTGATCTTGATACGTAATTTCAAACTTCGAAATTTTTTATATCCTTTTCAACTTTCCTTGAGAGATCAGTTAATTTTAAATTACAACAATTCGAGGAAATAAGTTTAAATGAAGTGCAGCATAAAATGTGTATAATTTAATAAGGGTTACAAGGATGTCATGTGGTACAACACCAGATTTCTTTTTCTTCTGCATTTTAAAATAATTTAAATTATTTATGTACATAAATAGCATTATGTTTGGAACTAAAATATATGTTATTACTGTACTTATCTGACATAAAATCTTTGTTATAATGATCTTTGTTTTATTATATTTTTTGACTTTATTCATTGTATTCTATTAATTTTGTGTTATTAAAATAATACTGTAGTAAAATGTATTACAAGACTAGCATAAAGGGGGAGGTATAGAGTCATATTTCTAGAAGGGGAGATTAGGGGTTCTCCATCTTATAGAATTTTATGAAGAGGTATGCCAAAGACTCTGAACCGCTGCCTTAAAAGGCACATCACCGTTAAATCAATTAGTTGACAAGCAACTTTACTCGATACTAGCTGTCGCTTTATAGGTTATGATCTCCGATCATTGCAACATTCAATAATGTTGAATTTTTAAATTCCTTTTTCTTAATTATGGATAGTATAAAACAAAAGAAAAATAAAACAAAAGAATTAAAATGTCTATTAACAATAGATTGCATTATTTTCTAATTTCCAAGCACAGTCTGTCTGTCTACCTAACAGCAGAAATTCTTTCTGGAGGACTTTCGAAGAGAAGCTGCTTAGTATTCACGTTACACGTAAAGGAAAACCTCCAAAAGGTCCAAACACCCAACTCATTCGAAATGCCAATGTCAGCAGGCATATTCATTCGGCACTTATATATATTTTAACAACATAAAAATTCAAAAAGAACATTCATTACTGTGCAGTTATTATCGAAAAAATATATACTTGTTTTTAAAGCAGAAAGTGTAACAAAACATTTCTTAAATTTCAGGATCCAGATAAAAATGGTATGAAAGATGAAAGGTATAGATGGCCTGAAGGAAAAATTCCTTACGAAATTGATTCTTCCTTAGGTGAGCTTAGTTTATATTTATATTATGTAAAAATTATACGTTTAATAATGCATAGACATATGTAATATTTTTCAGGCGTAGTCATAATGGCAGGCTGAGAAGACAAACAGATGACGCCGACACAAAAATGAATTAGACGAATTCCCAATCTTTATTTCTACGCATGTAAATCATCTCAGTAGATATTTATCCAATCATAATGAAATCCGATACATTCCTATGATTCAATCATAATGAAATATGATAAATTTCTATGTACATTGGCTTTTAAAAAGAAATGACGTATGCAGTTAAGCAAAGGTAAAACGACGCCATTTTGACAGAGGAGCGGTTAAGGAAGGGGAGAATGACTTAATTAACTCGCCACCCTTATTTATACTACGTGCGAGGCATAAGTAGAGCTAATCTGTGATCGGTTAATTTTAAGTTGTTACATAACACAGAAGATTCACGAATTTGGGAGAATAGATGAATTTAGGAGAAGAGAACTAAATCTAGAGTGTTAGTTTTGAGGTCTCCAATTATTTTTAAAGCAGCTATCATATTTTGTTATATCTTACATATGTAATCGAAAACAAAGATTTCTCTGACGCCTGTTTGCATCACATGCTAAGAATCCGTCCATTCTTCATTACTAATAATACAAAGTAATGAAGAATGGTCAGATTCCTAGCATGCTGAATAAATACTAGTTACAAATTCTCACAATCAGCAACGTGTGTGATTTCTAATTAGTCTGGTCAGTAATCAGTCTCAACCCTTTTCCTACGAATTAATTTTTTAACATAAGAGAATTATGTTTTGTGGCCCAATATGTTCTATTTTTAAGCAGCACAGAATCCATGGAACTTCATTTTTCCCAATAGATTTTTAATAACATATTTTTAGTGACATCATGGCTCGTTTGAATTAATATATCTATATATTCCAACCGTAATTTTTCTGGGAATTCATACCATGAACTTTCTGGAACATATACAATTTATTCGTAGTGAAAAGGTTAGGTATTCATTTACAGTTATAGAACTAACGGCTTCAGCCATTTCGGAAGCAATTCGAGAAGTTGAAATTATCAGGTTCAGTGTTCCGTCTTACTTTCTTCGGGAACATGCAAGGACCTGACTCGGAACAGAGAGCTTACTAAAGCTATGTTCAATAACTGTGGGAAGTAGACAGGATACACAAGAAGGGTATACAAAACCCTTTATTTTTCTCTATTTACAATAACTTCCGTACTTCGGAATACAAAGACCCACTACTTGTGGTCTAAACGTAAAAATATAAAAATAAAACTAAACTCTAATTTAACTTTAAAAATAATAAACGTGGAAGATTGGCCTTATATTAACAGGAAGCCGTATGTAGTACAGAGAACTGTGAACACTACAATACGTTTAAAAATTATCAAGAGGATTAAAACCTCTGGCCTGGAAGGCAACCAGCAACTGAGTAAAACTTCTAAGGTAAGCGGCCTGCTTCGACTAACTGCTTCCTCTCTCTCGCTTGGCAAAAAGCCACAACTTAAATACTTGGCGTTCGCCAGACAAACTTTGCATAAATACGTTAACGCTTATAATTCTGGCCGGAAGTAGAAAATAAGAAGTGATAGTAAAGATTTAAAATAAAATAAACGTTAGTAAAACTTAAGATCCTTACATACTTCCCGCCAGAGTTAATTAGTTTGAAACTGAGGTCTAAAACGACCTTGTTGAAAACTTTTAGCTCTAGAATCTAACGCGAGGCCAATCTTTTACAAACATTTTTCGCTAGAAACTAGAAATTTAAAAGAAAGAAAATTTGTTTTTTTACAATAGCAGCTCCCAGGACACGCAATTTTTTTCATCTGTACTGCATCTAAACAGGAGCTTTTATTCAAATCTCTGGTTCCTTCCAGAGATCTGGAAGGAAAACTAGTTTAATGAAATGTTACACAATGAAATGGCAAGTAACATTTCTCTTAACATTCTTATTTCATTCATGACTATTTTAATTATCTCTCCCCGTGCTCTCTGACATGTGTTGTAAAAGAACACCAAACACGAATGTGTTTATGTCTACGTGTTCAACACTTCCTCCTACAATCAAAACACTAACGTGTTAAAAAATTCAACATACCAAGACCTCGTAACACACCCTAACTTCAACTCTAAACCTGAGGTACTATTCTGAAAGTGGCTAACTCTGAAGTGTAGCGTCAGAGAGCCTAACTACATTCATTCAACCTTTAACACATATTCACCATGATTTGGTCTTTTTACAGTCACACGAATAAAAAATTTTTTAACATTACTTTCACTTTTACCATATCACGGTATTTCTTAACATTTAAAATAACAGTTCACATTGTATATAAGAACATATTAACATGCCGTTAATTTTACGCATTTGAAAACATACATTAGTAGTACATTGTTAACTTCTATTCTTTTCAAAGCAAGTGCCAATTCTTTCTACATTGAAATACTACATTTCAAAAAGTCTTTCAGACTAAAACTTCTTTCTTGCCAGAATGTTTTAAATAAAATTTATACAATAACTTTTTACAATATTTAAGTCTTTACACATCGCTATTATACATCAACTTTAGTTTTACGCGCGAGTAATTGAAAAACATAATACCAAAAAATCGGTAACAACTCATTTCTCGCCCTTTTGGCGATAAAGGTAGACCTCGCATGAGGTAAAACTTCTTGAAATCTGCCACTTGCAGTAAGAATGAAAGATTAACTTAAATTTGCAAAGTAACATAAAATTTTACTTATCTTTGTGATATTCGAACATTCTTTTCTGGGCCCAGTCCTGTAAGGTAGCGTAGATTCTTGTTTGATTTATCCTCCTTCTTGTGTGGGCTCGCCCTTCAGTGCTTTCCTCTAGAAGCTTTCTTTTTTTCCAGTTCGGTCACCCTTGAATACCTTCTTTTTCGCCTCTGCCTGTGGTCTTGGCCGTTTGATGGCAGCTGGTCTTGGCGGAACCGGGAAACTTCTTTCGTGTTCCTGCTTGGACCTCGTTGCTGGCCGTTCAAATTTTCCTTGTAACTTTTCCTCCGCCGCTGGTGGCCCTTCCGCAGTTCGGCGACATTTGCTGCGGAGAGTCCTGTCGGATGAGTAGATCTTCCGTTTTAGAGCCGGGTTATAGTTGCCGTCATTTCTCCTGGCTCTCTTTGCATACGTCGTCCTTCTCCCTTCTTCATTCTGGGGGTGTTCGTGAGCTCTCTTTTCTGGACGGTGGAACGGCTTCTTTTTCTTGCTACCTTTAATTTTCCCGCGGGGAAACTTTCTTTTCACTTGCTCCTGCCTCTTAATGGCTTGCCCTTGTACTTGTCGTTGTTCCACCTCTGGAGCTTGTGCCTGCGGTGTCTGCCGTGCCGGATCCTGCAAAAGATCTTTGAAAATTTGCATTTTATTACGATCATAGTAGGGTTTGATTTGATCAATGTTTGCGGAGCAGGTTTCACATTTCACCATTCTGGCTTTTAACACTACTACAGCGTGAGTTATTTTTTCTATGACATATGGTCCTTCAAATCGTGGAAAAAATTTGGCAGTTTTATCTTCTGGTGCTGAAGAAAGTGAATGCTTAATTTTTAACACTTCATCCCCTACTTTATAAGTTACTCCCCGTCGTTTCAAGTCATAATACAGCTTTTTTTTGTTTTTCTCTGTGCTACTTCAGTATTCTTTTTTGCTTCTTTAATTAGTTTTTCTATATCACCCATTTTAAATTCTGGGGCTCTTTGTTGCACATAAAATAATTTTATCTAACGGCGTTATAATCTTTCTGCCTAAAAAATAACTCAGCAGGAGTTTTGCCCGTTGTATCATGTTTTGCGGTCCTAAGGGCGAAAGCAAATTCATTGACATAGTTATCCCAGCTTTTATGAAAATTTTTAACATAACTACGGATAATTTTCACTATATTTCTATTGACCCGTTCCGCTATATTTGATTGCGGCCGATACGGGACCATTTTTAAATGACGTATGCCCAGTTTTTTGGCACATGTCTTCAAATACATTACTTACAAATTGAGGACCATTATCCGATATAACTTTTAGGGGGGGCGCCCCGTATTTTAAAATATATTTATTTAAAATAGAATCAGTAACTAATTTCGCGGAGGCTCGTTTTAAGGGAACAATTTCGGTCCACTTACTAAAATGATCAACCATAACAAGGAGATAGCGACTTTTATTTAACTGACTTTTTGGGAAAGGGCCCAATAAATCGATGCCAATTATTTCATTTGGAAATTCGGATTTAATACTATTTAGAAACCCGGCCGGGCGGAAATTAATATAATTAACTGCTTGACATGTTGGGCAGGACTGGACATACGCCCTTGTTAACTTTTGCAGTTCAGGAAAATAGACTGCCTCGCGTACGCGTTGGATAGTTTTTTTCGAATACCAGCATGAGAAGCTAAAGGGCTGTCATGGAGCTCCTGCAGGATATTTAATCTAAGACTAGCTGGGATAACAGGTCGAAATTCGTTGTTGGAATTCGTAGTTTTTTGTATAGAATAATAGACCATCTATTAGTTCGTAATGGGCCGCCCTATTTCTTATCGCCACAATATCTTGGTGGCTAAAATTTTCAGGATCCTTTAAATACTCATAAATGCTTCCAAACTCAGGATCCTTACCCAGTTCGGTTATTACAGTTTCTCGGGAATTTATTGTACATGCTGTGAGCATTGCCACCTTTACGGTATTACCTTCTTCATCTATTTTAATTCTTATTCTGGATAGGGCATCTGCTACGATATTTTCCTTTCCGGGGGTATGCTTGATTACCAGATTATATTCTTGTAGCTTGAGTGCCCATCTTATTAACCTTGGGGATAAGTTTTTTCCTGAGTTTACCCTGAGTACAATCTAGTTACCGCCGCATGATCAGAGTACACTGTTATTGGCGCCTTTCCAAAATAGACTCGGAACTTTTGCACTGCTAACAGAACTGCAAGTGCCTCTCTCTCGGTCGCGGAATAGTTTCTTTTTGTGT